GAAGACGGTCGAGAAATATTTCAGCGAAAAATTTTATGCAACTCTCCGCCACAAGATATAATACATAAACAAAAAGAAATTCATCATTCAAATAGCAATGATTCTAACGGAAACCACAATGACACTGAAATAACACACAACTGAGCTGTGAAAAAATTCCGAATTTGATAATTATATTAATTCTAACAATGCGCCCTAATAAGCTAGGAAATGTCTTGCAACATAAGTAAACAATCCAATCACTCAGTAATTTCAATATAACATCAACTTTTAGATGATACGAACAACTTCTAATATTCAGTGAATATTTATCCAATCACTGATCACTTCACCACACATTAAATCACTCAAAACATTGTCTGTAATTATCAAAAAATTCGATCGACTACAACGCATTCTCAGCCGCAATTTGTTCTTCTTTATGTAGTCGTTCGATTTCGGCAATTTTCTTCTCGTTGAAGTAATTTGCAAACCTGAAGGCAAATCGCTAATAACAAGGATGTGGATATCAACATTGACATATTCAATGTCTAAATACTTCAGTACAATTCAGTAACAATGAAAAATTAACAGATCATCAATTTAACTTCCACTCAGGCTCATATCACCTTTAAGGATCAATTTATAATTGTTACCAATGAAACTATTTTTGTCATTGGACAATAATCATAGAATTGGATGTGTATAATCAGATTGCATTCAGCGTGTACTAGGCTAATCGACCAGAACATTTCCATGGCTTTATCACATCATGCAAATGAGCTTTTTTTTGTTATCACAAATAAGATAATTACCACTCAAGATGGGATTTTTTCTTTTCCGCAGTCATATACGGATTCTTTGAAAGACCGACACAGACCAATTCCATGAAATGCGCTATTGGTCCGGTTCTTGGTAGGTGGTAATCGGCAAGTTTCCTTTCCAAAAATATGTGCTCATCGAATCCAATCTGTAAGCAAAAACATGTTTATGATTGGACTCAATTCCAATAAATTGATAACGATAATTATTCAGATATACTTCATTGTAATAACGTCCTCCATACATCGATACCGACTGTAAGTAAACTAAATCAGAGATGAAATTTTTAGAAGATTACGTTTGATTCTTCGCCCAGTAGATATTCATTATTGATTGGATACGGCCACATTTTACCCTTTTTCGTTAGTTCGATCATTTCCTCAAATCCGTTCTTTGGGCCAAATGATTGGTTCCAAATCCTTGAGAATGTTGGTTAGATCAAATTACCATTCGAAATATAACCACAACAATATTATAGGGAAAATCGTCGTAATAACTCCGTAACAAATCCGAAATCGCTTCAAATGAACGTTCATTTACCTAGCTGCATTTGCATCCGATTTCGCCCAAAAATCAAGACTGTGTTCTTTCAGTTCACTTAAATTCTTCGCATTGAATATGTCAAGTCTGGGCAGATCAGTCGAGAAAATATTCTCAGCTTTGGGATTTGGTTCAACGACTGCTTGTGGCATTGCCTCACCGGACATTCCGGATCGATAATCTCCCGGATACAACATTTTACTGCAATTTTACAGTAACTTTACCCATCGATCTCTTTTGCAGATGTTGGTCCGTACAAAATGCGAGCGAATTCCCTATTAATTGAAAACACTTATTGATATCACTGAATGAAACGCGTATGCTCCAATCATTAAATTCCGGAACAATCGAATAGCGATTTGTTATCTCACTGTTTCACTATTTAGTTACACCATTGATCTCTTAAAAAACACAAACGGATACATCGATCTCAAATATCTATTCAAAATCAACGTAAAGTGATGAAGGCATCTATCAAAATTTTCCAAAAAGTTCAAAACTATCTTTAAAATAAG